GGGACGTGAGTGAGGTCCGTGTATCCGGTCGTTGAAAAACAAGTGACTTGGACAAGCCAGTTCACCGAACGGCCGGCCGATGGTTTACGGGGCGGGTGTCAAACAGCGTAAAGGCTGGTTGAATTCAAACTGCAATTACGTGGAACCACGTCATACTCCCCCCCCCAAACCGCCAACGGCGTTGGTGTTCCGGCCGTTGCCGGTGTTGTAGTGTGTCATGTGTGGAGGGTGGTTGTATTAGACACCTGTCCGCGGGCACGTTTGCCGGCTGTGTTCAGCGGACGTGGCCCTGGTGGTGTCTAATCATGTTTGGTCGACGTGGGGGGGCTGAAGTAGATGAGACTGACCTCCATGTCCTGGCCGTCAGACATGTCTGTGTCCGTACCCCCTAACAGTTGGGCCTCCTCTTTCGGAGATATTTCCATATCCACGGTTTGGGAGGGGGTGGCTGTTAGTTGTTCCGTGGTTCCGGTTGCTTCGGTAGTGTTTGTCACTTCCGGCACCGTGGCCACGGCGAGGTGCGTGGTCGCAGGCCCTGGCTGTGACGGGTCTGGTGTTGTCTCTGGGGCTCGGGTTTCGGGAGGTGCCGGTTTTTCCAGGTGGTGTTGTTGGTGAGGTGGTCCTTGGTGTCGGCGTGGGTGGTGTTGGTGGCGGGTTGGCGGCGGTTGTTACTTTGTTGGTCATGGCATGACCGCTGTCTTTGGCACCGGTACCTGCGTCTCCATTAGTGGACGGAGTGGTGGTCTCCCTGGTACCCGCGTTGGCGGCAGTGGTTGCGCCTGTCGGGTGTTGGCCGCCGGTTGTGCCATCCGTCTGGGGCCTAACCTAACCTGGTGTGACATATGGACGTCGTGGGTTCGCCGCTTGTCGTCTTTCGGAACACGGCGGTGCGGTCTTCCCACCACTGTAGGCGGCCTACAGTACTAGGTCCCGCTGCAGGTGTGCCGTGGTCATCTGCCGTTCCCGTGCAGCCGTGGTGGTGTTAGGGCCGGCTCCAAGCTGGCTGCCCTCAGCAGCTGCTGGCTTTGTTCCAGCAGTTCCACCGCTTGTTGGAGGGTGGAGGGTGTCGTCGGCCGTTGTTGTCGCTCCATTTGGTGATGTGATGCTGTTCCGACTGAAATTATGTACACAAAATGCTATTGTGGGTTTATGGTTGGGGGGGTTGGGTGGTAGGTGTTTGGGGCGCTGCGGCGTTCGACCGTTTGACGCAGGACACATGTATTTTGCGTGCTGGCTGTTGGTTTGTGATGAACACACCTTTGCCCACGCGTTTGTGCAGTTTTACCGGTCCCCAACATTTCGGTGCGAAGCCAGTGTGAAACTTTTTGTGAGCGCTTGACAGGTGGTGTGCCTTGTAGTACACCGTGTCACCTGTTTTGTACTTTATGTCCGTCGGGCCACCTGTTACAGGTGGTGCGGTCAGTAGGTACGGTGTTTTCGCTACTCACCCTATCCATATTTATTTGTTCGATTGGGTTATCCGCTGTCCGCGACAGTATCCAGTCCCCCAGCCTCTTGCCCTCTCACCCGAGGACGAGTACCGATGGTGGATATCCTGTCCGGTCATTACGTCTTTTCCTGATCGAAAAAAGTATGGGGGCTAGCTTGGTGTCCCAGGTGTTGTGGTTGCCGTCGATGAGTAGCGCGCGTAGACCTTTTTTTTAGTTCCTGGTTACGGCGTTCGACTGGGTTGGCCCTCGGGTGATATACCTTAGTTGTCCAGCCCTCGGCTCCCCACCGTTCGATCGCTTTCCACATGTCGTTTGCTACGAACTGTGGGCCGTTGTAGCTCAAGCACACATGGGGTTATCTGAAACGTGAAAAGAATTCTCGTTCGAGCGTTTCGGTTATTGTTTTTGTAGTGGCTGTTCCGAGAGGGTATGCCTCGGTCCATCTACTAAACAGGTCCGTGGGGACCAGTATATATTGTTTTCCCCTACTCGACATTACCCCATGAGGTCTATGCTTATCACCTCCCAACCCTATGTGCAAAATCTAGTTACATATCTATCACATAACAGTCGCACTGTGAAATGAGAAGTTTATAATTTTTTCTCAGTGACCACTCTGAGACAACGTACAGACGCTTAACGCCCAGTTTTGTGAAGTTCATCTGTGTGATGTCTCAAAAAGTATATAGAAGTACAATCACAATGTAACTACTATGTGATATCTATGTTAAGCGTTAGGAAATGCATTTTTATAATTCAAATGCTAATCGCATAATATTTCACAAATCATGTCTGTTAAACGACTGGAGTCATTAGGGTTGAAATAAACACGCTGGCCATTTTCTAAATGCACGGAAAGATGGAAGACTGTTGGAAATCTCTCGTGGATAGGAAAAACCAGAATTCTCCATACAGCCTCAGAGCTGCTGATATATCGACCACTTTCATAAAGCTTGACTTCATCATTATCATTTTCAAAACCAAATGCTGCTTGATCACTTCCTTTTGTAATATATTTACAAATGTATTTTATAGATTTTACAGAGTTACAGTACTCTACATTAATATGAGCACCAAATGTACGTGAAAGCACTGGGTTATACGGTACTACCCAACGATTATCAAGTGTATTACCATTTATTTCAACAGTAAAACCACCATTTTCTGGAGCTCTTCGCCTATACTTTGGATACCCGTCGTCTCCTGTCTGTGTTTCTTGAATGAAAGTTCTAGGATACTTCTTGCTACAGCTACCTGACTCCATACAGGGTGATCTATTGTTTGAATTACCGCAAGGCCCATGGATCATATTGGCTTTGATAATATCGTAAAGGAGAGAATCTTTTTCAGGATCAGGTATTTCCGCACTAATGATACAATCTAATTTATCTGGAGAAATGCGCTGTTTTAGCCATAACAAAATATGTATGTGTGGTAAACCACGTTTTTGCCATTCGACCGAATACATAAAACATTGCACTTCCCCAAACACATTCCCTTTTGTTAACAATTTCATTAACGTCTTAACTTTTAAATGAAATATCCTAGCTATAATATCATGACGATCGTAGGACTTTTGTTCAGAAAGTAATGCATTTGAAACTTCTCTCCATCGAGGATTACATGTGAAAGTTATGAATAAATCAGGACGACCGTAATGACGAACGTATGTCATGGCGTCCTGAGTTTTTTCATGCATATACCGTGGTGAGCCAGTAAAAGACGACGGAAGAACTACCATCTGACCAAGATGGGTAAGATCGGTATCTTGTCTCCCAATAGCATCTCTGAGATGTATGTAATTATCAGCTCTGAGTTGCATTTGATTGTTTTTAATAAAATTTAAGCGCTCTGTTTCAATTTTAGCGTACATATCAACTAAATATTGATTAAAAAGTGATCTAAAGTACAGTAAATGGTTGATTTCCGTTTGTCTAATCATGATGTGGTAAGAATAAAATTGCGATGCAGAAACTGTTTTCTGAAGTGGTAATTTAGTTTTTGGATCAATCTGAGAGATATTAATGGAATAACCATCCTCCCCATGACAGAAAAGTAACGGGTACTGAAGTGTATCGTATGAACGGTGCAATTCACTAATCCGTTGCAATTTGTTATCATGACTTTGTAACACAATATCTCGTTTTTCAAACTGTTGTCCAAATATGACCAATGATACTTCACTTGTTGTTGGTGCATTATAACGTCCTCTGTGAGCATTATCAGGTTTTCTATCAGCGTGTATTATAATTTCAAAGTTTTTACTATTTTGAGGTACTCTTTCGAGTGTGGTTTTCAAGTCCTTTATGTATGGGTTATTATGGTGCAACATCGCTTGTAATTGTTTTACCAGGCTTTGCTTTACATCAGCGAAGTGGCTACATCTTAAGCGTGTTTCTCTCTCATCATCTCCAACGAAATAAATCTGTAGAAATTGAGGGTTTTGTTGAGGTAAAGCTTGCAAACTACCAATTAAATGATACACCTGACCTTTCACTTTGAATGTGGGCATAAATCCATCTTCGATAATTTGTTTCGCTCCAAAAGATGTCATTTGGAAGCAGTTATTGTATTTTCTAATACGGTCCATGAAATTTTTGTGATCAGGATGGAACCCCATAATCAAACTGTAAAGAGGTTCAGGAAGAGGTAAAAAAGACGGAAGTTGTACTTTACCGGCACTACAACACATTCCAGGCGCCTCTTCTTTGAATTTAAGAGCATCGCAGTATACGCATTTATGACTCATAGTACCCAAAGATACAGTTTCATCCGTCTCATAAGCTATTTCCGATTCATATTTCATGCCGGAAAAAGCTTTTATTTTCCATGGAAGGATTCGCCTCTCTGATCGTCCTCCTGGATTATTTTGTTCATATCTATGAACTTGCACTCTATTTACTTCTGGATTTTTTTTTTTATACTTGGCTGCTGCTACTTTATGAACTTCTTTATTTTTGAGCTGATATTTAGTAGCAGATTGTATAAGCTGTTTTTTTCTGATATTATTTGTAAATCTCTTCCGTCGTTTTTTAGTATGCTTCTGAGAGCTGGGTATGTTATCAAACTCATCAGATACAGAGTTAGTCAATTCATCTTCATATGGTAAATAAACATCAAAATGCCCATTAGATAGGTTTTGCATAGAACTAAAACGAAATCTCTTTACGGGGTTCCTTTCTGAACCAAATTTTTCATACAGTTCACCATTGAGGTACACCTCAATAAATACCAAAAATAATTGTCCGGCTGCCACCAGCTCACATAAACCTCCATAAGTATTAAATTTTAACATATCACTAAAGTAGTCAGCAGAACTACGATAATTATTTCCATCACTTTCATGTGACATTATTGAATAATCTTCCCAATTATTTATCACATGGGTTACTATCTTTTTACGTACTTCTTGGGCCTTATCTTGAGTGTCATATAACACAAAAGATATTGCCCTAAACAGGCAAGCTCCGTCACCAATAATTGGAATGATAGTGTGGGACTTCATTATGCCATTTATGTTCAATAATTCGACAACCATATTAATTATTTTTTATTAATTTGTAAGTATGTAAATTTTATTTTAATACACTTCAATGTTTATAAAAAACCGTACATAAACAAAAAAAACAAACATGCCCGATTAACCATAGATTATACTGTATTAGCCAGTACATCGAGCTGATGTATTAATTGCCATAGAGATGTCTAAATTGTTATTATCATATCAATATAAATTATTTTTATTTTTAATTCACTCATTTTAATACCAATATTGTATATTTAAATTAAATATTGCTTGATAGATGGCGCCACTATCATATTCTTTCAACCCCACTTTTACCCCCTTGTAGGTCGAATTTTCAAAAATCCTTTCTTAGTGCGCCCTTACATTGCTTAAGGAACCTCTGTACAAAATGTCAAGTCTCTAGACCCAGCAGTTCCGGCTAGGCGATGATGAATCACCCAGGACAAGTCTTTTTATATATACAGATATATTATTATATTATTATATTATAATTAAATAAATAAACATTACTTTTGCTATCTTTTTATACAATTATTAATTATTATTATTTTTAAGTTAGATACATACATGTAGTAAACAATCCCTGTCTTGGTTCTATTGCTACATCATCACCATTATATACATCAGTCAAAGCAGCTAAAATAAAAATAATTTGATCACGTGGATATTTAGTACCTATGTATATAATTTAGATAGATATATGTTATGGATTGAAACATTTCAGCATCCGCTGAGGAATAATTTGCTGATGTTGTATTTGTGGCATTACTGCAAACTGTAGTATTGTCTCCAACTCCAACATAAGGCTTATATATTTTAATAGGAGTTATTTGAGTACTGCTGCTTGCTAAAAGAAAATATATCAATATAAGAAAACATATCAATAATTATTATTAAATAATCAAAAAATTAAATATAATTAATTATATCATTTATAAAGGCATAAATCTATTTAAGTAGATATTTAAAATAATAATTTATGGAACTCTTACTGCTAGCATTGCTTTCGTTTAAATTAATATAAGTTCTTTTTCTCGATGTTTTTGATGTCTCTGGAAGATTGTTTGCAATACAGTCTGGCTCAGACGCTGAAGCCAGAAATGAATAATTATTTTTCTTTGTTTGCAGCTTCCTTGTAATTATCTAAATGATACAAAATACATTTTTATTGCAACAAAATTAAATAATGAAATTATCCTTAATATTTTTGTTGTTTAGGTGTTAAAGAAGTTATTTATTAATTAATTTTATATTAAAAATGTTGGTACAAATTGCTATTATTAAAAATGAAAACATAATTTATCCATAAACTACAATGAGAGAGCAGATTTTTCTAAGTCCAAGCATTTTTTTTTTTAATATAGTTTATATAAGTAAAAAGTTTCAACAAATCAAAATCAAAAAAAAAGGATTAAGCATATTATAGGTTTATTCATTTATATTAATTATTCACTATATTGTTAAATGAAAAATCGTACTCGGAATTGTGCACAGAGCACATATAAATTGCTCTTTTACAAAATAATTATAATTAAAATAATAATGTACCTATTAGTTAAGTATTAAATAAATTTACTTTAATTACAAATTTTTGTAAAATAAATTATATAAACATTTTGATATCAAAATAATATTGTTATTAACTATACCTACCTACCAAATTTTACCAAAATGCTAAAATAAAAACTTTAAAATTATATTGTATATTTTAAAACACTTAATATTTTTAGTTAGTTAACATAGGTATTTATTATTTTTTTATTTTATTGAATATTAATAATTAATCATTATAAATATAGGTAAGGTACTTACTATAAAATCGTGAAACTATTTTTACAGGATAAGTTGGCCAATAAATGTCAGATTCTTTACATTCAGATATCATTGTTGGGAAATTACCAGATTTTGGCCATTTAGATATATACATTTTTCCACATATAATAAGCCAATTCTCTGGTATAACTGAGTATTTATTCTCTCCCTCAAAATAACCGACTATCCACTAAACAATATTATAATTTATTTTATACAGTATTAAAATGTACAATGTTAATATATTATTATGATAACACAAGTTGGTTAGCAAACCTGTGTTAAATTGTTGTAATTAGACATTATAAATACCTACATAATCATTTATCATAATATACAAAGTACTAAAATTAAAAATTAAATTATTTGATACAAATGGCAATTTATTTTTGTGTACAAATATTTAAAAAAGTAATAGGTTGATAGGTAATATTAAATTGTTTATAATTAGGTATAACTTAAATCTAATACAGTAGTACGCCCAATTTGTATAAACACATTAATATTTAATATTTATCATTTATGTATTATCATAGATATTTGGTGCCTACATAATAGATAATTCA